AGCAGGCGGAAGCGACACGGCTGCGGTGGGAGCCGGATCTGCCGGGGAAGCCGGCACCGTGGCCCGGGGGGCGCCCATGGGCTGGCACCGGGGCCAGCAGCATGGCGGGATTTGGGGCATTTGGGGTCCTGGCTGATGGCCTGGGGTTGCAGTGGGGTGGCAGAGGGGTGGCAGGACGCTCTGGTGCTGCTGGACTCATTGGGAGCCTGTCGGGACCTCGGGGATAACACTGGAATTGGGAAAAGTTGATGTCTCTAGGGCTGGCACCAGCATCAGGGGTGTCTTGGAAGTGACCAGCACGTGGGGCTCCTCCGGAGCCATGGGATCAGGCAGGGAGCACCGGTCATGGCGTCTCATTCCCGGGCGCCCATCGAGGGTGGCGTTGTGGCTGAGCTGGCCCTCGGAGCCACACAAGGCCCGCATGCCCACGGTCCCTGTCCCCATGGCAGAGCCGGCATCTGTCCCTCCAAAGCCCCCACGCTCTGTCCCTGCCGCAGGCTCCAGGCTGCCCATCCTTATCAGCCTGGCGACTCCCCCAGCAGCACTTCCCGCTCCAGGAAAACGCGCTCGGCTCTGCTCGCCTTTCCCATTCCGCTCTCCCCTCGGCTCCGTGCGTGTCCCTGGGGCTGGCAGAGGGAAGCCGGTTTGCTCGGGGGCGTCGCAGGGTCCGCGGGATGCGGGCGGCAGCGGGATGCGGGCAGCAGCCTGGCACGGTGCCCGCTCGCTTCAGCGGCGCTCGCACGTCCTCGCCCCGGAGCTGAATCAGGCCTGTGTTCCTCGGCTCCTGCTTATTTGAACTCGGCTGCTCCCGCTCTGCGCTGCCTCTAATCACCCGCCTCAGCCTTAATTGGGGCCAGGGCGATGTCGCGGGGCCGGCAGTGCTGCCCGTGCGGCGGCCGCGGCTCCTCGGCGCATTCCTCGCTGCTGACTCTGCCCCAGCGCGTGCTGGAGGGGGATATTCGGAGAGTTTTCAAGGCTCTTGAATCCCGGCCCTTTGTCCTGCTGCAGTTTTAGGGGTAGAGGGGATGGAGTTTTGCCCCCGTGGGTGCCCTCGAGCTGCATCCCGCCTGGATGGCACTGTGCAGACCCGCGGTGCGGAGCTGGTGCCATCACTTGCCGGCGCTGCCCTGCACATCGGGTTTCTTAACGCTTTGGTTTCTTTTTTTTTTTTTTTTTTTTTCTGAACCCTGAACTTGCAGGACAGGAAAAGCTGGTGCTCGGGGTTCCTGCTGCTGCAATCGTGGCCGCGGAGCCGGGCGGAGGCAGCGCGGGGCTCTCGCCGTCACGGCCGCCCCGTTGCCTTGGGCTTAACCTTGGGCACCCGTCCCGGCCGCGCGCTCCTATCTCACCCCCCCATGTCAATGTCACCCTGGCACCTCTGCTTGGGCTTGGGTGGTTGTTTTAGGAGATGGCACCGTCTGGATGCAGCAGGTCCCCAGCCTGTTTGTCATCTGGGCAGCGTGGTGACAGATGCAAAGAAAACCCCAAACAGTGCTATTTGCTGTGAGACAGAGCTGCTTGGAGCAGGGACGGCCCTGCTGGGCCACGTCCCCTGCACACTGTGCAAAGAGCAAATGGAAAAGGCCGGGGAATCATCCCCGGGAGCTGCTGAGCCTCTAGAACAGGCTTTAATTCTCATTGAAGGGAAAAAATAAGATCAGGTTTCAGGTTGATGCTGTCCCATTAATAAACCAGGTTTGTCTTTAGCAGGCAGCAAGACCTGATTTTAAAAAGAAATGGAGATAGGCAACCTATTTTAAGCACTCAAGTTGGAAAATATCCACCTGGCTCCCTCGTGGCCCCGGCAGATCCGGCTGGGTTTCCGGGGCGCCGCGGGGTGCGGAGCACGGGGCTGCGGGAGCGCTCGGTGCTGGTGCACGGGGCACCTTTGCCGTGGGGCCCCGGTGCCGGGCGGGTTCCTCCTGCTCGGTGCAAAACCCGGCGGCTCTGCAGGCCCAGCACCTGATGCAACTGAATTCCCTGAGGTTGGAGGACGTGGCCTGGGAGAGGCGGTTTAGCAGGAAGAGGGGGGATGAGTTGGGGCAGCTTCCCCCGTGTCGGTGCAGTGGGATGGGGTTACGTGGGCTCCGCAGCTCCCCCCGCGCAGGCTCCGTGCGCTGCTCCAAGGGCTGAGCAAGGGGAAAATGTGCTCTGGGAGCCGCGGGGGCAGCCTGGCCGGCCGCCCCCCCAG